AACTATATCGTTATGTTATTTCGTATACTTGACACTATATCGTTATGTTATTTTGTGTACTTGACACTACAACGATATAATTGTCTTTTCACGTGAAAAGAAACGACACATGTCGTTTTAATTACGTTTTCAATTGAAACGAGTTCAAACTCATCAAATTTGTTCTGAAACGATATGAATGTCGTTACGTTATTTCGTGGGTTTGATACTACAAAGAAATCATTGTCGTTTTATATGAAAAGAAAAGACCTCCATGTCGTTTCAGTTACGTGTTCAATTGAAACGAGTACAAACTCGTCAAATTTGTGTTGAAACGATATGGATGTCGTTACGTTATTTCATGGGTTTGACACTACAAGGCTTTCATTGTCGTTTGATATGAAAAGAAACAACATTTATATAGTGGAAGAACCTGTGATGCAATTACTTGGATGACTCAATTGAAGATAAAGTAAATTTCATCCAAGAGCGCGCCTAAGGCTTGGAAGCGCGCGCGACGGCTCCCTATGTTGTGTGCGCTGTGCAAGTTTTTTATATAACGACTTTCACGCCATTTTATTGGTCTATAACAACTTCAATGTCGTTATGAAAATCAGTATAACAGTGTGTTTTTCATACTGGAACAATATCAATTTCATTTTGTGCCTCAGTAATGATTTCAATGTCGTTATGTAAATCGATGTAATTTTCGTATTAGAACAACATCAATATCGTTTTGTGTCTCAGGAACTATTTCGATGTCGTTATGTGAATCTATGCATTTTTCATACTCGAACTACATTGTATGTCAATTATAATGATATAAAAGTCATTTGCCTGTAATATGAAAAAAACACGGCAACGTAAAATGACTTTATTTTGTTCCAATAACACAAAAGCGACATTAGAACAATAACTATAAAATCTAATAAATCATTTTGTGCTTCCAATAAGTACAAAATAATAAAGTTATAAGTCACGATAATATTACAACTTTAAGTTTCACTACCAACTGGTTGGCCCTTACAAGTGGAGCGAATATGGCCAATTTTCTTACTGTTGGAGCCTTTAGACATTATAGGGACAAGAGTTGAAATCTCTATTTTGTATAGCATTGTATTGACCTTCAATATATTTCCGACTTTATCATACAAGTTCACACACAAGATTGTTTTCGAAATAAGAATAAACGTTATTTTCCCTTTGCCATTTCTTACATATTTCCATTTCTAATCACCTTCAACTGACTGCTCATATTCAACTAGATAACGAACTGAATCCATAACATATCCACGGTGTCCATATCTGCAATTCAACACAAAGTTTTTAAAATTTCATCGAATATCAAACTTTGTACATGATTGATAACACGATGTATGTCGTTATGAGTTGCAGAAAACGACATGTAAGTCGTTCTAGACAGAAAGAAATGAAAATGTATGTCTCACAGTAGAACAACGAATGGAATAGCCAAACATGTGTTTACCAACATATTAATTTCAAAAATAATAGGTAATAAGAAAAACTGAAAAGCAACACATATCAAAACTCTGATTCAAAGAACAAATGGATTCAAAAGAATAGCCAAACATGTGTTTACCAACATATTTATTTAAAACATAATGGGTAATAAGAAAGATTGAAAAGCAACACATATCAAAACTCCAATTCAATGATAAAATGAATTCAAAGCCATAATTAACTAATGAATGCCATAAACACAAATTACAAAAAAAATATGAAGAAAGGATTCAGAAAAATTGAAAAAAAAAAAGTAGCCCAAATATCAAAATTTAACATTACCTTCTCTTCTTCTCCAAATGCCCAACAAGAATATTGTAAGATTTGGCTACTCACTTCAAACAAATTAGTGTTCAAGGGAATGACAATGGTAGATTTTAGGGTTTCATGAAGGAGAGAAGATGATGATAAGAAAATAAGAAGAATAACTGCAGGGAAAGTTGACCCAATTATGGAAGAAATGAAGCCAAAATGAAAATGCATACCTGTAGAGCCGATTCCTATGGAAGAAATGGAAGTGGAATTCAATTAGGATTAAATGAAAAATAAAATGGGATTTAGGATAAATGTCTTTTTGTATATAAGGACATTTTAGTCATTTACAAATTATATTATCCATTTTATATATATTTAAGTCTTCTAACTAAAAAATATTGATGTTGGGCCTTTTAAACAAATGTTTGGTTTAACTAGGCTTTTTAAATGAAAGCCCCCGCATTAATTCTTCGCTTCAAAAAGTCCTTAAGGTTTGGAATTGTCATTGCTCTTTTCTAAAAGCGAATAAACCATCTTTACTTGATGAAGCATTTTGTTGGCTCATTCCATCATTAAACGTGGTGTTAGATGGGGGAGGATTAGCAATGGAGCAAGCATTCAAATTAGGCATTAAAACGAGTACAAGTTCTATCAAGGTGATTCACTAGGTTAATATGTTTACTCTACAAGAAAGTATTGAAAAAAAAAGATATTATTGTGAATGTCTTTGGATTTTGACTATTACTATATACCTTTTCTACCTAGTAACAAACTTTTAGGGAACTCTACACGATGGTTTTTTAGTTAAATTCACTTAGCATTTGATTCTAGAGCTTGGATTATACAAAGAGAATAGAGAGAATATAGATGTTGGGAGCTTTAATAATAATAGGCCAATTATTTTGTTAAACACGTGTTTTTGAACAAAGAGAGGCATGGGATGTTTATGGCCCAGTGCTCTCTGCACTACATGTTTTGATACCCTCACAGAATAGGTATTAATTAAGGCCCTGTTTTGAGGGGATTAGAATTAGTTTTTTTAAATATATTTTGATTAAAGGTGATGAAATATATTGTTGAAAAATTGTGAATCATATGAAATATATGGTTCAAATTAATTGTTGATTGGACTTAAATTAAAATTTATATTTACATGTGTTCTTCGTATTTTTAACTTCAATAGCTTTCTTTTCCGACTTCAATCCATAGACATCATTAAAGTTATGGTAAAATATATCTATTTTCCAATGTGCAATGTAATGAAAATGTGTTTATGTTATGGCAAGTGTGATGAACTTGGAAGCCGGGAGCTTGGGCCTCCCAAACCCCCTAGCTTTTCTAATTATTATTTTTTAATAATAATAATATAATTTAAGCAGTTAGTTTATTAATAACAAAGTGGTTGCAACTTAGTGACAAATGTATTCCCAACTACAATATTTTTCTATTTTTCTTTTAAAAATTAGCCATGGAAATTTTGGTTGACATTGCAAGTATATGTAATGATGACAATAGATCGAGCTGATCGAGTAGAGCTGACTCAGTCCATATACCCACGTGCTCAACTTGTCACTTTGACAAACTTGGCTTGTGTTCAAGGGTCGAACTCATGAGCTCACGAGCTCGAATTTTTTTTTTTTTATCTTTTAAATTGTTTTTGAAAGTTACGAAATGATGTTTGGTCACTTTTTAGACGAGTCTACGAGTCAAGCTCATGAGCTTGTGAACTTTAGGCTCATGACGGTGTCCACGAGCTACTCGCGAGCTCGAGGAACTAAAGCTTGGCTCGTCATTGGGCCCTTGCTCGGCTCGAGATGTCTTCATCCATAGACCGAGNTGTCAATTAAATAAGTAATACAATGAACATAATGAGTTTGGGTTATAGTTCCTACGAAAACTATTTATCTAAATATTGGTTTAATTATGCCTAACTTCTATTCAAGTAAAAAGTAATTAAAAGAGATTTAAATTATGATTTTAATATGGTAACTTCATGAAAATAATTAAAAAGTGCGTAAATACACAATTTAAGATTTTAATTGATTTAAGAAAAATGCTAGAATTCACAAGTTCATCGTATTCGTAACTATCCGCTTGATCTCAATGATAATTAATTGTATTTATCCAATTCTTCTAAAATAATAGACTTACGTATGTTGAATTAATACAAATTCTATTCAGTTTTCGAAAAGGTGATGACAAAAGTGCAAATTTCTCTAATATTTGTTTATAAATTGTAAAAATAAGTAAATTACTTATTTTAAAAAAAGTCCATTAAATGATTGTTACACGGATCGAGTACGTATGTAGCAGCGAGTACATTGGATCCGACAATCCTTGTTTTTGTCGGCAAACTTCACTCATCACTGTCATATCATTTATACAGTACAAACTAGGAAAAGCATTCTGCAAGAATTGATTCTTATTCAACTCACGAATCACAACTTTTCTCCTCTTCACTTTTCTGGGTCTAAGGTAAAATTTCATTTTCTAATAGCTATTTTTACTTTTAGAATATGGATATGGATGTATATTTCGTCGTGCCGATCATTTGATATCATCAATGCTGTTTATTTGACGATTATTTTTAATTTGCTCATAAATTCACTCATTTATCTTGAGTGTTTTTTTTTTCTTTTTGTTGGAAAAAGGGTAAGACCCATTTATGTGCACCGCTTAATATTTCTATTGTGATTTTAGATTTTGGATCTGGCAATTTTACATTAACTTTTTGAAAGAAAGACGATAGATAACCATGTTTTACTACGTGAGCCTCTGAATTACCCTTATGGATCCTTTATCTTTTGAAGATTGTTTATCCCACGGTTTCTACATTTCAGGTTTCTACATTATTCACACATTACCTAAGACCCCTAGTTTGTGAGTACTACCAAGCAATCACTTAGATAGAGCGCAGTGTGATTCTCCATTAAGTAAATAAGTATCCTTTTTCTTTGGAAATGACTCTTGATTTGAGTCACGATTAATGCTGGCATTATAGGTTGGGTTAAGCTGAGATAACTTCAGCCCTGTGATCTTCTAGGACATTTTCGAGGTTCACATTTATCGTTAAGTAGTTCTAACAATTCTTTGGATGACAAGAAATGGAAATGTTTATAGAACATAGACGCAACCTTCTATTTGAATTACACTTGATTACTTAGTGTTTTCCTTCTTTCATGCCTAGTGAATATGTATAGCCACTTGTATTCCACTTTTAAATTCCTTCAATATCTGGAACAGATATGGCTTCGTATGACAAAACAGAGGTAGTAGGGTTTGGGAAAATTGACAAAAGGTTAAGGATTTCATCCACGATATTGGTGAGAAAATTGAGGAAACAATAGGGTTTGGGAAGCCAACCGCAGATGTCACCGGGATCCATATTCCTCACATCAATCTTGAAAAGGCAAATATAGTTGTGGATGTCCTTGTGACGAACCCTAATCCTATTCCTATCCCTCTCATTGACATAAACTACTTAATTGAGAGTGACGGGAGGAAATTGGTATCTGGCTTGATTCCTGATGCTGGGACGATTCATGCACATGGTTCTGAGACTGTCAAGATACCAGTTTGTCTAATATACGACGATATCAAGAGCACATATGACGACGTAAAGCCTGGAAGCATTATTCCATACAGAATCAAGGTTGATCTCATAGTTGATGTTCCAGTTTTTGGAAGGCTTACTTTACCACTTGAGAAGACTGGAGAGATCCCCATTCCTCACAAGCCAGATATTGATGTTGAGAAAATTAAATTCGAGAAGTTCTCTTTTGAAGAAACTATTGCAAATCTTCATTTCAAATTGGAAAACAAGAATGATTTTGACCTGAGGCTTAATGCACTTGACTATGAGGTTTGGCTGTGTGATGTGAGCATTGGTGGTGCTGAACTCACAAAATCTGCCAAACTTTAGAAGAATGGGATCACCTATGGCTATATTGAAGTTCCCATCACCTTTAGGCCCAAGGACTGTGGTTCTGCTCTTTGGGACATGATCAGAGGAAGAGGTACTGGCTACTCCATGAAGGGAAACATTGACGTTGACACACCTTCTGGAGCAATGAAGTTACCCATCAGCAAGGAGGGTGGCACAACTCGTCTTAAGAAGAAGAAGGAAGACAGAGATGAAGACAACGATGACGATGACGATAATAACGACGATGAGGTACACTATGTTACTTTATCATGCCCTTTCTCACTTTAATCTTTCT